CTTCTCCAAGGGCTTCCAGGAGCCTGACATCCACTTCCCCCCTTCATACAAGTTTGACGTCGGGAAGGACACCTACGACAGCACCTCCAAGCAGAGGACCCCCTCATACACGGTGAGGCGCCCTGCCCAGCCCGACCCTGCCGCCCACCTGCCGAACACGGTTGTCTCTGGGTGGGGACCTATGTGACATCAGACTTGAGGGCACGGAGACCAGAACTGCTCACACTGCCACCTGGCACGGCCACCGCACGCCAGCTGGGACACCGTGTGCGCTGGGCTGCTTCGGGAGAGGGTGCTGCCCACCTCCAGGGCGTTCCAGGCTGGGCAAGCCAGCTCCCAGGGCTCACGGCAGGGCCTGGCATGCACAGGCACCCGCCCGCTAGTCACACCTTAGCCTCTGCTGCTCGGCTGCACGGGAGGGGACGAGTGGGAAGGGAGGCCTCACCGCATCCTCACCCACTCCCACTGGGCTGTGGGTCCTCGAGACGTTGGGCGGAAGCCCTGGGGAAACCACTGAGGCAGGGCTGGGTGGGAGCAGGTGCTGGGACTCGGAGCTGGGAGGGAACAACCCTAACCCAGGTCCACAGAGGCCTGGCAGGAAGGTGCGCTCAAGGGTCGGGGCCCCCAAGGGGCTCGCAGGCCGTGCCCTGCAGAAATCACACGTCATTGTCCCTCCTGCTTCCGTCATCTCCCTGAAGGACCGGGTCTTATACAAAAGCCGCCACAAGGGTGACATCTGTCCGCTGAAGTATGCCTCCTGCCCAGGGATCAAGACCTCTGACCACCGTCCCGTGTATGGCCTGTTCCGGGTCAAAGTGCGGCCTGGACGAGACAAGTCAGTCCCCCACACACGGCTTCCCTCTTGGGGCCCAGGCTAGGAGGGCTGACCCTTGGACACACACAGACAAGGGTTGCCGGCAGCCCCCAGCTGGGGACTGCTACCGCTGGTTCATCTATAGTGGCTGTCCCATAGGCCACTGGCCTGGTGCATCTGTCGTGTCTGCCCTGTGGCCTGCAGAGCAGGAAGGGTGCTGGGACAGCACTTGGTCAGATGTTATTTTGTTTTTAGTTGTCATTATTAAATTTGCTGTAGAGCTGGGGCCAGCAGATGGTGTAATGGTTACATCACTGGACTCCCATATAGTTGACCGTGGTTTGAGTCCTGGACCTGGTGGCTTAAAACTCAGCTAGGCGCATGTGCATGCCCCAAATGCTGAGGAGAATGGAGAAGGGATTGCGGTGTGGCCATTTCCTCGGGGGGTGATTTCTCACTTTCTCTCTGGCAAGCACACATGCCCTATAGTAAAAAAATCTCAAAAAAAAAAAAAATTCTTTTTGCTATAGGGCACATGCAGTGTGGTGAGTGGACGAGAAAGCAAGCTGCCAGGTCCGGGACTTGAACCGCTGCTGGCCATGTAGGAGTCTGGTGCCTTAACTACAAAACCACCTGTGGGCCCCTGGCCGCTCCTGTGCCAGGGAGCAGTGGGGAGAGGCAGAGGGAGGCCTTAGACACGCATGCAGCCCCCCTGTGCCTCCCTCCCGGTCTGGGCCCCAGAACAGGTGTTCATGGCCATGGGAGGAAGCATCCCTGGGGAGGCTGCCTGGGTCAGTTTTTTTTTTTTCATCTATAGTGGCTGTCCCATAGGCCACTGGCCTGGTGCATCTGTCGTGTCTGCCCTGTGGCCTGCAGAGCAGGAAGGGTGCTGGGACAGCACTTGGTCAGATGTTATTTTGTTTTTAGTTGTCATTATTAAATTTGCTGTAGAGCTGGGGCCAGCAGATGGTGTAATGGTTACATCACTGGACTCCCATATAGTTGACCGTGGTTTGAGTCCTGGACCTGGTGGCTTAAAACTCAGCTAGGCGCATGTGCATGCCCCAAATGCTGAGGAGAATGGAGAAGGGATTGCGGTGTGGCCATTTCCTCGGGGGGTGATTTCTCACTTTCTCTCTGGCAAGCACACATGCCCTATAGTAAAAAAATCTCAAAAAAAAAAAAAATTCTTTTTGCTATAGGGCACATGCAGTGTGGTGAGTGGACGAGAAAGCAAGCTGCCAGGTCCGGGACTTGAACCGCTGCTGGCCATGTAGGAGTCTGGTGCCTTAACTACAAAACCACCTGTGGGCCCCTGGCCGCTCCTGTGCCAGGGAGCAGTGGGGAGAGGCAGAGGGAGGCCTTAGACACGCATGCAGCCCCCCTGTGCCTCCCTCCCGGTCTGGGCCCCAGAACAGGTGTTCATGGCCATGGGAGGAAGCATCCCTGGGGAGGCTGCCTGTGTCCGTCCGCAGGCAGCTCTCCACGGCTCTCTCCTCTGCAGCATCCCGCTCGCTGCTGGCAAGTTTGACCGAGAGCTGTACCTACTGGGGATTAAACGGCGCATTTCAAAGGAACTTCAGAGGCAGCGTGTGCTGAGAGACCGGAACTCCAGTGCCATCTGCACCGTCTCCTGATGTGTCTGCACTGCGGTTGTGCCAGCTGCGCGCGAGGGAGGTGACACTCCCTGCAAGACCGTGCTCGCCGGCAGCACCCACACTCCACTGCACAGATGGAGCCTCACTGTCAGGATGGGTGTGGGCCCCACAGGGCTGTGTTCTGCTGGGTTTCCTGAGCAGCCCCTGCCCCCGGGGAGGGCACATTCACAGCCCTGCACTTTACACCCAGGCTCCAGCAGGGGAGCCCCCAGCCCACCCACTTCCTCTGTCCCCTTAGCAGTAGGAAGCCAGGCGGTGTGGACCTGGGAGCGTTTTGGTGATTTCAGGATAGTTGCGTTTGTCGCATGGTCACAGAATGATGTCACAGGAGTGCTGCGGCCCCCGGCCCATGCACTGGGACGCCTGGCACACCACCCATTAGCCTGGGCTGGCATTGGCCCTGCCCCTGCTCATAGCCCGGCCCACCCCGTGGCCATGAGTGTAAAGCCTAGGGACATTCAATCTAGTCTTTATTTTCCATGTTGATATTTTTAAATAAATGTCTATGTTGGATCTTAAACTCTTCGTCCCCGCTGAAGGCTGGGTGTTGGACAGCCGCAGTCTGACCCTGTTCTTAGCACTCACCAACAGGCCATAAGGTCAGAGGCAGGCCGCCCTCCTGCCCTCGCGGGGAGTGGAGCTGGAAGAGTTTTCTAGGGGGAGTGAAAAGCTTGAGACTCAAGTGACCTGGTGGGGTTATGAGCAGTGGCCACAAATAACTAACGGAACACTCCACGCGGGAATGCCAGGCCATGGCCACTCACTACGGGCACCGTCCGGCCTGCGGACAGTCTGTACCTAGGGCTGGGTGTAGACAGCGTGCTGCCCTTCCACGGAATCGCCTTGGCTAGAGGTCTTTGGTGGGACCTGCGCACGGCACACTCTCCGTCACTCCACGTAGTTGGTCAGTTCAAGTACCAGACCCAAGCTGGAACTCATGCCAGGTGCATGTGCGTGTGCCTGAAATCCCGCGAGTGGAGAAAGGATTGTGCGTGGCCATCCCCCCGGGGGGTGTTATCTCACTTTGTCTCTGGCCAGTGCACATGCCCTATAGCAAAAACCTCTTTTAAAAAAAAAAACAAAGGTTTGTGGTGGTGGAGTTTGAAATGAGTTTATGGGTTCTTCCCAGGCATTTTCTGACGCAAGCCCTGATCTGGGAGAAATTTTAATGGACACTGCAGTGTTAACTGGGCTGAGCTTGAAAGCCTCTCATCTTTAAGGGGCTCTCAGGTACACCTAGTACGCTTCTGGGTCGGAAGTAACTACTCCATACTAGACATTAGATTTTAACTTACCTCGTTTGTTTTTGAGAGATTTTTGGCTATAGGACTTGTGTGCTTGCCAGAGTCAGACAAAGTGAAAACCCAGCCCCTGAGGGGATGGCCGTGCTGCAGTCTCTCTGGGATTTTGGGCACAGGTGCACACTCACTCAGCATGCACTTCAAGCTGCCAGGTCTGGGACTCAGACTGTAGCCAGCCACATGGGAGTCGCGTTCCTAACCACTCTGCCACCTACCAGCCCCATCAGATTGAGAGATTTCGCTCAGAGGTAGCTTGACCGTTAACTAAGGCAAAGCTGCCGGTCTTAGCACACCATGAAGAGCTGAGCCAGAGGCAGAGGGTGGGTCAGCCATGCTTCCTCGCACGTGCAGGCTGACTACAGAATGAACGGCTGAGGGTGCCTCGCCCTAGGGAACAGCGGGGCCAGTGAGGTGTGGCCAAAGAGGGCTGTGAAGGGGCATCTGGTTAGAGTAGGTCAGGGAGAAGCCAGGGAGTGGGGGGTCCTGGGGCAGGAGGGACTGAGGCTCCGCAGCAGAGAAGCACCTGGTCGATGCGCGAGAAGCTCAGGGACAGGGCACCATCCCCAGTGGTCTGCCTAGCCAGTTTCCAGGTGGCTGAGGCTGCTTGGGTTGCAGAGGCAGGTCTTCACGGTCGGCCTTCCGCAGGCCTCTGGTTGGGACCTGTGCCCAGCATGACACGGACCTGCCCGCCGCACGGCTCCCTGGTGCGCGCTCTCCTGCATGGTGACAAGGCCCTCTCGGGGATCGTGTGTTCTCACTCCAACCCCAGAGGGCTGGATCCCTGCAGGCCTGCAGCAAGCCAGCACACCCACACAGCTGGCGGGCGAGGACGTGCACGCCATGGAGGTGCTGGGCTGGTCTGACCACAGGCCCACACAAGGCGGCGACGGGAGCGGCCCTGACGTCCTCCTCCATCCACACCAGAGGACATGCTTCCTGGCTGCTCAACAACGGACTGGTCAGGAAGCAGCACCAGAACTGCCCAGGTGGTACGCGCAGGCGGCACCCACTCCATGCTGGCTCTCGGCGTTCCAGGTGAGCCAGTGCCGCCCACTCCAGGCTGGCCCTGGGCATTCCAGCTGAGCCATGCAGTGCCACCGCACCGCAAGTCTACACCTCCATCCCCGAGTCACTGCCACCCAGGGGATCCCACGGGCTGCCCCCCGCCAAGCACCACCACCCAGGGGATCCCACGGGCTGCACAGGGGCCACCCCCAAAGTGCTGCCACCAAGGGCACTCTGGGAGCCCTCACCCCTGCATGCACTTTGACAACTATGAAACCAGAACGTATCTTAATGACAGGAAGCTTCAGAGATTGGATTGAACTGGCCAATTCTCCGGGAAGAGTCTACTTTAGGGGAGCAGCTAAGATGGGTCTGCCTGAACAAGGGAAGGGCGACACCAAGTGAGACGTCCACCATTTATTAGCACAGTGGCCTTGCCGACTACGTGCAGGTAAATGGTTCCTGCTGGTCGGGTCTGTGAGGGGCAGTCCCAGGAACTGTCAGAACACTGCCTTCTGCCTACACTATGGGGCCAGACGGATCAATGTGTGGGGCTCACCCTGTGACCGCCATCTCCAAGGACCTGCAAGGCTGCACGCTCAGATGCCCAGGTGGCACCTGGTAGGCCAGGCAGTGGACGGAGTCTGCAAGCCCGTGTGCCCGGGTGCAGCTGCAGGCGGGCGTGCATGCTCTTCCCACAGCAGGCCACACTCGGTCTCGCCCAGAGGGACAGGGTGGACACCTATGCCGCTGCCTGGCCTTCTCAATTCTGAACGAATGGGAACGGAGTGGCTGCTCTGGCAACATGAAACGTGCACTCAAGTGGGAGACCCGTCTGCATGTTTCCTGCCCGCCGCACGGCTCCCTGGTGCGCGCTCTCCTGCATGGTGACAAGGCCCTCTCGGGGATCGTGTGTTCTCACTCCAACCCCAGAGGGCTGGATCCCTGCAGGCCTGCAGCAAGCCAGCACACCCACACAGCTGGCGGGCGAGGACGTGCACGCCATGGAGGTGCTGGGCTGGTCTGACCACAGGCCCACACAAGGCGGCGACGGGAGCGGCCCTGACGTCCTCCTCCATCCACACCAGAGGACATGCTTCCTGGCTGCTCAACAACGGACTGGTCAGGAAGCAGCACCAGAACTGCCCAGGTGGTACGCGCAGGCGGCACCCACTCCATGCTGGCTCTCGGCGTTCCAGGTGAGCCAGTGCCGCCCACTCCAGGCTGGCCCTGGGCATTCCAGCTGAGCCATGCAGTGCCACCGCACCGCAAGTCTACACCTCCATCCCCGAGTCACTGCCACCCAGGGGATCCCACGGGCTGCCCCCCGCCAAGCACCACCACCCAGGGGATCCCACGGGCTGCACAGGGGCCACCCCCAAAGTGCTGCCACCAAGGGCACTCTGGGAGCCCTCACCCCTGCATGCACTTTGACAACTATGAAACCAGAACGTATCTTAATGACAGGAAGCTTCAGAGATTGGATTGAACTGGCCAATTCTCCGGGAAGAGTCTACTTTAGGGGAGCAGCTAAGACGGGTCTGCCTGAACAAGGGAAGGGCGACACCAAGTGAGACGTCCACCATTTATTAGCACAGTGGCCTTGCCGACTACGTGCAGGTAAATGGTTCCTGCTGGTCGGGTCTGTGAGGGGCAGTCCCAGGAACTGTCAGAACACTGCCTTCTGCCTACACTATGGGGCCAGACGGATCAATGTGTGGGGCTCACCCTGTGACCGCCATCTCCAAGGACCTGCAAGGCTGCACGCTCAGATGCCCAGGTGGCACCTGGTAGGCCAGGCAGTGGACGGAGTCTGCAAGCCCGTGTGCCCGGGTGCAGCTGCAGGCGGGCGTGCATGCTCTTCCCACAGCAGGCCACACTCGGTCTCGCCCAGAGGGACAGGGTGGACACCTATGCCGCTGCCTGGCCTTCTCAATTCTGAACGAATGGGAACGGAGTGGCTGCTCTGGCAACATGAAACGTGCACTCAAGTGGGAGACCCGTCTGCATGTTTACAGACCAGAGTGTTCACGACGGTTCGCGCCAGACACGGACACACGGGGTTCACTCCTGTGACTGCTCCAGGGTCCTGCGAGGGCCCAGGAACTACCGGAACAGGCGATATGTCCTGGGCAGCCGCCCATCCTTGCTGGACAGAGCTGCCTGGATGTGCTCGTAGGCAGGCAGGCCAGCCAAGTCGCCCAGGGCGGCCACCGCAGGCTTCCCCCGGAGCATTTTTGAAGCTACTCTCTTCACGTCTTCTGGCTTCACGTCACCTAGTGCAGAAATCAAAGGGACGTCAAATACCACATTCATTTCCACTCCAAGGTCATGGTCCCTAAATGGACCAACGGGGGTCGCCAGCCCCTGCATTCCTGTCACCCTGAGGGAGCTGCCAAGGCTTGGGAGGGTCCAAACGCAGCTGGGTGAACTGAGGCGAGTGGTCAAACAGCCCAGCACAGTGCGGAGTCTCCTCACAAAAGCCCCAGCAGGGCAGGCCCCGAGTCCTTGACCACCCCGGCTTCTCAAGCAGCTCCGTGCACAGTTTGAGGAAGTTCAGGGACCTCCTGAAGGTCACTCACGGAGGCCACGGGGAGCCTAGGGCTGAGACCCCTGCAAAATCACCGCCAACAACACACTCCACTGAGCTGTCCCCACTGACGACCCGGCATGGTACTAAGCCTTCGGCCTTCTCGAGTCCCCCTTGAGGACCCTGAGCAGTGACAGCCCCTCTGAGGGCTGCCCGCCCAGGTGGCACCCAGTGGGGCCGGGAGGGGGACGGAGTCTGTGACCCCCTGGCCCTGCCCTCGGCTCTCCCTGCTGAGCACGCCTGGCCAATGCGGCTGTGGGGCCCCTGCACGGTACTCACTGATGAGGGTGCAGAGCTCATGGGGGAGCTTCCGGGAACGGGTGGCCAGCACCTGCCGTCCCACGTCCTCAAAGATCACGGGCCTGGACTCCAGGTTCATCATCAGCATCGACATCAGCTGTGTCTTGGCTCGCTCCAGCTCCACCTGACACCACAGCCCCATCAGGAGGCCCTGCACCACGGCCCGCCCTGCCATCCGTGCACCCCCAGCACCACGGCCCGCCCTGCCGTCCGTGCACCCCCTGCACCAAGGCCCGCCCCCGCGTCCACACCCGACCCGCTC